CGCAAAAAAAAATTACATAAAAAAAACTGGCTACTTTACGAGAATCCATGAAGCAGCTCTTACAAGCCAAATGGCCTTTACATCGAGAAGTCAATTGGAAATTACTGTAGGAAATCTCGTCGCATCTAAATAGGGATCGTACGACGGTAGTTGCGTTCTCTCAATCAGAAAATTTCCGTCACCTATAGTCGCTGAATCGTACGACCGGCATTAATCACTGAGATCTCTTTCATTTCTTTTTTAACTCTTTCAACTTAATCAGGATGGTCAACCAATAACGAGAAACAACCGGAACCACTAGTACATGAAAAACACAATTGGCAAATAATATGAGAAATAGCCTCCCTTGCTGTGACTTCATCCGTTTTCTTGGCCTACAAAGTGAGCCATTTCGCAGAGTGTGCCACATAATCGAAAAGGTGTACATCAGCAGGTTAGTAAAGCACTGCAATCAGGGCTACGTGGAATAGCTGCCTTCATGGTAGCGAGATTGAGACCATTCTGTAACATTTTCGCCGACATTCGCCGCCTGTGTGTGATTTTCCTCTCTCTTCAGCACTGCTTTGACATCGTACGACGAAGTCATGGCGGCCCTCACGGAAGGCCGTCAACTGACGCTCACGGCCAAGGCCACCGACTGCGAACATCCCCTGCCCCCCGAGGTCATCCTCGCCGAGGGCGGAACCACCTCCTACCAGTGGGTCGTCCCCCCAGGTCCGCACTCCTTCGTCCTTCCGCTCGCGACGGCGACGGCACTCACTTCCTCCCGTTGCAGACGAGACGGGAGAGGCGTTTCTCGCCGTGGAATGGCCTGGCCTCTCGCTCAGCGCGGTTGAGGGTCAGACGGTTTACACGGTGAGCAGGGTCCTCCTCTCGAAGGATGGATCCGTCTTCGTCGCCGGCAATTACTTCAATACTCTCACCTGGGAGGACGAATATCCGTATCCTCAAGGTTTCCAGTGCGTCCTCGGAGAGTCCATCGACTTTCACTACGCCTCGGGTAGATCAATTTCGAGAGCCTTCCCACGAGATTCTTACCATGGTCAGCACCAAAAAATGTCGAAATTGCACCAAATATTTCCCAAATTCACAACATCTTTCAGGTGACACATACGACTCCTTCCCGACCTCCGCCGCAGTCGACGCCGCCCTCTTGGCCGGGAAGGACCTCCAGGCCGCCGTGGACGTCACCGCGTGCACTTCGCCCAACGGGACTCTCTCCCCGCTTCTGGCGAGTCACGCTGGATCTTCCTGAGCATGTTTTTATATTGTCGCTTCCGGCTCTTTCGGTTTCTACTTCATATGTTCATTTCGTCAGCTTAGAACGATGACTTAGACGCCAATAACCCTGAAATTAATTCAAATCCTAAGACACCGACATAGCTCAAATCTTCGCAGACAAAGAAATAGCAAGAAATAAGTTTTCTTAGGGCGAAGAGTACGTTATTTTCTATATTTTTCGCTGTTCGCACGAAGTGAAGCTATGATGGCATCGAACCTCACCTGTACCATTACTTAAGATATGTTAGACTGAACCTTCAAACCTGCTCTCATCCCATGCAATGAATGTTTAATGGATAATTCCATAATGCAATGTCTTGAGAATTTTGAACGGATTGTTCAGTACGCCGGAGCGAAGGTGACGGGTTGGCTGCGAGAGGAGACGGGTGAGATGCCTGGCATTTTCTTCTACGAATCCATCGCCGACCGTGAGATTTCTTTCCACTGGATCCATCGATTGCATGCCTTCGACCGAAAAGGGTTTTCACACCGATCGCAGTCGCAGGGATCATGACCGTGTTCGAATTCCACGTGGCCGACGACGACGTGCTGCACGTGAGAGGCACGACGTTCGACCCGCTCGACCCGGGCGTGGTCCTCGCGGAGGAGATTCTCCAGTGCAGGCTCGGTGGAGCTGCCCGATTTTACGCCGCCGCCTATGACCGGTGAGGCATCTCGAGTTTTTCCAGCCGCGGGGAGAATGCCTCGTGCAGCGTCTCGTCGCTGTAGGGTCGAGTTGATGCATTACGAGTCGGTCGTCGAGGCACAAACGAGCGGAGGGAAATTGGCGGTCCAGATCGACTTCGGTGGATGCGTTGACTGGACCGGTGGAGTGAACCTGACCGGCGTCATGACCGGCGCATACCTCCACGACCTCTTCGATTTCGTCCCAGAGGGTGAGCCGTCGTCCATTTTCACTTCGCTCCTTTCTCCAACGATGGAGGAAATCGCTCTTGTTTCAGGCATGACAGCGGCGCTGCTCGGATCCGCTCACGCCCTGAAGAGCGACCCAGCGAGCGGCGTGGCCTACGAGTCCTTCGATGTGTTCGTCTTCGAAAGCGGGAATCCCATGGTCATTCCAGGCTACTGGCGAATCGACGAAAGCGGCGATTGGGGCAACGACTTCGGCGCCGCGTTCATGGACTGCCCGATCGGGAGGGGCGTCAGGATCTTCCAAGAAGTCTGAGACACCAATAAAATCAGTCTAATTCCTTCCTTAATCTTGCATGTTTCATTGCAATCGATCATTTTCTCTTTCTTGACGATATCTTCGGAGAAGGGAGCCAAACACACGAATGCTTAGCAATATCCAACACATCTTATAGGATAATGTGAGTCAACACTTACCGCAACGCGACTTTTCACATTTTTCCTATTGCCTTTATCTGCTGGGTATTTTTCACATCATTCTGTTCCCCATGCTGAGTTTTTTGGGGGTAAATTACGACAAATTACACAAATATGTAAAATCCCAAGAAAGTGTTTACAAATGCACTCCTCACCTTGAAATGGGTCTAGTATATGCAAGGAAGCACCCAGAGGCAAAAACAGGTGCATATAG